CATTGTTGATGTCTGTGTTGCAGTATATAACAGGGTGGGATTCCTGATAATAGCCAATCTGGGTTAATTTCATTGTCTATGTTTAAACCTTGAAACAACTCTAACCTTCGTTATCGATAATTAGGACATTCGAAGAAGAAATGATAGGCATTTTCACAAGGAGATCCGCAGATACAGGCAGGGGTCTTGTTGATGTCTTGCGTGACGAGTTTCATAGTATTTTTCCATATGTGACTTTGGCGTACGAAATGTATTATCAACTTCGAGCATTTCACATGTTTTTATTGTCATCTGACATTTTCATTTTCTAAATTGCATCATTTTAGTTAAAAACAAAATAGATACCCACTTCTTCAGTTATATAGACATCAAGTTCTCTAAAACGCCACTATACCGTCCATTTTTCACATTGAATCGTAGTTACAATTTTCATAATGATGCTTTGATATCTGTACTTTTGTTTTCTGCATATAATCATTATTCTTCTAGTTTAACTATCATTTTATTGTAGTGTCTAACTGTCTGTTTGTCTGGATTGCTTACTGTTATATTTGTTGGCATCTGGTAATTTTGCTAGTTTTAATGTCACGCATTACGCCTGATGTGTCGACCTTATTTTACTGTTTTTGTTGTAAATAGTTATAACATTCAAACATTTCTAAGTCTATTGTCCTGGAAAAAATTGTCCCCTTTTCGCACTCTGAAGTATTAATAAACGAGATATTTTCTTACTTTTAACAGACGGTCAGCAAAATATCGTAACAGTCATATATCTCGCCTTTCACGTTACGATAAAGTCTTCCTACCCTATCAAACAAATAAGGTTTGCACAAATAAATTATTTTTGTCTTGTTATGGTTGGGCGGGAACGCAGTTCTTGATATTATACATTTGTAATAACAAAACACACATTGAAATTTGAATATCAATTATAATTATGCCGCGCTGATATATATACATTCCTTATCTGACACAGGCACACATAGTTAACCATAATTATATAACAGCTCCGGTAATTAAATTTTGACAAAGTAACTTGTAGGACACCGCGACAATTTTTGTAATTATGCCTCGCGGCTTCACAATAAGCACCTCTGTCAGAATTTTATATAACGAACAGCCAATCAGGACTAACGGACAAGGCGGAAATGGACAGACCGGAGGCAAGACATATCTTATCTGACATTGTTACGGCTTGTATTAACCGTGTTGTTTAAAGATAACACATGATAATTTCATTTTCTAGTAACAAATGTTTGAGACCATGGAAACACACGTAAATATTACATCGGGTTATATCACACTATATCCCATAATTCAAATACAGCCTGTATGTATCTTACAACAATTGCAAAATAAGCTATCAGCTTATATTAATCTCTCTTGTTTGCCCGAATGGAAGCGCTCGATGAATCCTACTGTGGGAGGACATCGAAGTACCCTGGGAAAACCAACGTGGTCAGGCAGGTGTTCACATACCTTTTCGCGTACTTTGAATTGAATTATTTTATAATTATGAAGCTTTACCAACTATAATTGCTGTTATAACAGAACAATGCATTTAACGCTAATCAATATTTTCTGCTTCATTTTTAAAGCGAAAACGGATTTACCTGGTCACCCGTAAAGTCTAGTAATGTGTTTCAAAAGTGTAATATTTAGTTGTTAATTTTACAATGTTGAAGATCAGGAAAGGAAATGATATGATCATTATTCATTTTTATTTAGCGAATGGCGGAAACCAGACACCGACAAAAACTATTTTAGAAATTGGTATATCAATGTTTTAATGATAATCATACCCCCAAGAAATTAGCAATGCGGACTGTATAGCTTCACGTCAGACTACGGAGCAATTATTATAAGGACAATATATATATATGTGAGTATATTTGAAAACTAAGTAATAGTTGTTAATCTTATACAGCTTCTAACTTTCTTTTCTACATAAAACACGGTCTCCCTCCTTGGCACCTCTCTGTCATGTTCCTAAAATTCTAGATGAAAAATGGGACGACGACTGGATTCGGACCGCGATGATCATCTCCGGAAGATATGTTCTTTGTGTGCTGTCGTGTATTAGCCTGACACATAATATTACCAGCAAGGCCATAAACCTGTCATTTTATCCAAGATCAAGCAACATTAGGGTAAGGATTCTCTCTTTTACATATGAAGTAAGATGTTTTTGGTGATCAATCAGCAGAAAATACACTGAATTTACTAGTGTTTTATCGTTGTTTGTATTTAATGGCCGTAGTTTCCTTGCTCAATGTCGATAGTTCCATGTATTACACACAGAAAGGTCAACATTCAACACCTTACCTTTTATCAGACAGGCGTGTGTGTGAGTAATACAACGCCGACGTACATACTCCAACGTTTAGACTTGTACGCAAGGATCGGTACAACATCCTTAGTAGATCAGCCTGTTGTTGCTATGTCATGTGTCAAACAGGTGTAACACAGAATCAAAGTTCCTTGGATTGAAGTCGGAACATCATTATGTAATGTTTTTTTTTTTATGCGTATTAGATTTTGTATCAATATATCCATATCTGAACCGTTGTTACAGTATTATTTTAGTATACAATATATCTGTAAATCTCCGAAAAAAAGACAAGCTCAAAATTCTCAGTTTAAACTCAACAAAGATGACATGATGTCAAAATATAAAAACAAAATGATTTACAAGGGAAAATGGACCATGTGTACCGGAAATGTGAACGTTTTATGCTTCTTCAACTAAACCCCCTTTCAATTCTGATAAATAGCATGTATATAACAGTTAATTTCTCAAGTAAATGGCTTTTTATTTATTAATTTTTGTTTTTGTTTTGTTTGTTATTAAAATTATTATCTTATTATCCTTTAACATTTTCCACCACAACTATTCCTGAAATTAAAATTCGTTTTCTTGCTGATCAGTTTTCTTCAAATGTTTTCAGTAATGTATATGAATATGTATGTATGTTTATATATATATATATATATACACGGTGAACTCTAATTTCAACGTCTCCCGTCAATACGTTATATATAAAAACGAAAGTTCTCGATACTTAAGTTTGGACACTTGTATTTAGGAACTCACTGAAGGAACAGTCTCGTTTCTCTAAAAGTTTTTGTGAGATTGCCAAGTTTTCTCAGAACTAACTTTATATGAAGGTTCGAACTTAGTGAAGAATAACATGGCTTGTATATCACAAACGAAATGACTACTGTATAGTCAGGAGATCAGCTCTGGATAAATTCGTCTAGGTTGAGGAATGCAATCCTTAAGAGAACCAACAATATGAGAACAACACAAAGTGGTCGATGTATAATATTTATTTTTCCTATTTATACATCTGATTATAAATTAAGATAACACAGTATCAATTTCAACATTAGATTGAATGACAATGAATCCACTCACACACGTTAACTTATGGCGATTTATTACAAGTCTCTCATTCTCTCCTCCTCACAACAACTAATAACGTAAACGGTTTATAATATAATGTTTCTATTTGAATAATTGAACACCGGTCATGTATACGTACACAAATTGAATTCTGTTCGTTGATTGCAAATGGAATGGCACATTTGAACATGCTAACTAACAAGCAAAGTGTTGTTTATAACAATTTCAGTTGGGCCGAACAAAATGATTCGTTTATAATTTGCGTTGGGTAGACTGAAATAATTCAGTACTGCAATTTTATCACGTTTTACAATGAAGGACAAAATCATGTCACTCCAATATCCTGAGACGAAAGCTAAACAATGCCAGTTAATGATACTGTACATTAAGCGGTAAGCGACAGTGTCAAGACAATGGTGTACAGTATGACACAATCACCGGGACCTTATCGATCTTCAAGACTTGATTTATACGAAAATAATAGGCCACTTACTAGTAAAGATTCATTATGTATGCATTATATATACCTATATGTAATTATCCGGAAATGACAGAACACAAAAAATTATCACAACTCAAGCATTTCTTACATTGTATATTTAAATATAATAGAACCTGTAATTTATTGGGTAGTCCAAGAATAACTATTAACAAATAACGAAAAGTAATTTATGTATTATGTAAAACAACACACGAACGAGAAAATTAGCACAGCTATGTATACGTATTTTATCATGTTTGATTGTATGGACCAAAAGGATAGCAAGGACTCCAAAAAGAAACAAACTTGATTTACGAATTTTAGTTTAAAGTGAGACTTGATTACTACAACATATTATTACTGGAAACAATCTTCGGTTAATATAGTGACACGCAGTGGCCCAGACTCTAGTCAGTGACAAGCAGGTTTTAACCATTCCGTTATCATTTTTTACTCTGATTTTTTAGGAATGTTTTGTTTTGTATTTTATGCTGAAAACAAACAATGCTTTATAAAGCTGTTATTGATGAATATAACTGAAAGTTAGCGGGAAATATAACATGATTTACATTCACGCAAGGAAAATAATTCTTTTGCATTACATAAAAATCCAATGATAGTACGACTGGCATTTCAGAATAACTATGATTGCTTTTGATAGGTGAATAAAGCTTTTCAATGCACAGAACATGAGCAATTTGCCGATCAAACACCGCTAGATTAAGTGCGTCACATACAGAAACCACACATTCAGTGAATTAGGCACAAATTGCGGCAACTCACTCTCGTTAGATCATCTGTATTAGTAACAAGTGTGCAAAAATAATGTGAGCATTGTTCTATAGCAGATATGTGGTCACATAGCTGCTCTCTAAACGAAGCGTTTCTGAAGATATTCCAACTAACAAACCACGATTCTTGATCTCTTTTCATTACTGCTTGTGATGAAGCGCCAAAGCACAGCCAATCTTATCGTTGTGAAAGGCATCACATAAAGGACCTTGCCTGAATAAGCAAGTTCACATGGTTCTCTTCGTCATTCTTTTGCCATGTGACTTTAGCACTATAGCCTGTGGTAAGAAAGTTTCTCCCAGATTGGTCTAAAAGCATTCCTCAAAGCTTCGTGAAAAAGCTCTGAAAGCAGACATTTGGAATAAGCATGAACATGATGCAGTATGAATTGATGATGATAAAAACAATTAAGCATTTTCCTGATTGTGGTTAGAGGACAAAGCTTCATAAACACACCAGAAATGCCAGCATAAGACGTGATAAATATAATATGATTGTCCGGTATTGACAAAGTTCGCACAAACTTAAAATCAATATGGTAAACTAACAATGTGCAGTTGTGTAATATTGATTACTCAACAGGTATCGTACGACATCAATTGAAAAAAGACTTGGCACATGCCGTTAATTTACAAAGTGCTATCTTATTTCTGATCAATTAACAATTAAAAAAGAAACAATAATTAAACTTGTCTGTAACTATGCACAAAACTTTAATTGGTGCATGATATCGTGTTAAATCATGGTTCTTTAGAACACTATATCAGGAAAAAACATATTTCTGAAAATATGTTCAAAAATAGTAGTGGCGAAGATGTTGGTTGACAATGATAATGGGTTACAAGAGAAAGTTAACATGGAGTTAGTCTATAATCTCACCTCTTCATTGGTTTTTGTCTCCGTCACCTCCTTGTAATTGGAGGATTCTTCATCTGACGCAAAAACAGGGTTATCTTTCACTAAGTTTTCCGTGCTAACAGGAGTATTGGGATAGGCAACAGCTGAAATACTGCTAGCGGTTGAAATTGTTCTTCCAAGACTTAAACAATCACTGCTACTGAAATTACTGTAGTTGCTATTTGGACGACTGGACAGATCAACGGCGGAATCCTCCTCGTCGGACGTATCATTGGAGGCAGCGTCTTTCGTTAAATCTGTTGAACTACTGACCGATCCCAACAGCCCGACTGAAGCCAATCTTGTTAGTACAGGCAATAAACTGCTCCTTCTCCTCTTACCTGTACACAAATAGAAAATCATTATATAAGTACATAATGCATTTAAATATAAAAAAAGCCCAGATTCTGAATGTACACTGAATAATGTTATATAATTTTTATTACACGGAATCAGCAGTGTTTTCTGTCTTTTAGAGTCAATGACAAAGTGATAGTGAATTGTGTAATGCCTGCATTCGATATATATCCATTATAAAAGTTGATGGATTAAATATAGAAATATTGTCTACTTATTTTAACGACGACTTAATTGAACTGATAATGAAGTGGATCTTTCAGTATTTTACTTATATTTTCTTTTTTCAAAATCTGAGATATAATACTAATGCGACGGTCATAATTGTTTTTTCTAAATCACTAAATTTATTTGTTTTTGCATTCAAGTAGTTTTGAAAAAATGAATATAATACCATTACTAAAGTGCATTAAATATGTTCCAAAAATGTCACATTCCTTCCCTCACTTATTCCAGATAATTACAATTTTGTGCAGTGTTGCATTTTGACAAACGGAATCTTTAACATGAAAGGAAAACGAGAAAGAGATTTAGTGAAACTACAGACACTTAATGTCGAGCCTCGCCAACAAGGTAATGTTATATTTATCAGGCATTTATTTTTTCACACTGACCAATTTACAGCCGTCAGACATAGGTTGCTCTGATATGTCAGTTATATTTGTTACATACCTTCAGGCGCACACTGTTGGATTTCACGATCTGTGGCCCCTCGTCTTCTACACAGGCTTTGAAGCTGTCTCAATTCGATCTAAAAACGAATGTAGATATATTATTACACAGTTTTGATGTTTCAAGTTTAACGTAACGGACACAAAATAAGTTCGCCTAAATTATATTTGATGTCTTGACATTTCAAATGAGCATACTGGTGATCTATAAAACAATTATGTATTTTTGTACGGGTGGTGTTAATGTAAATCAATGTAATTTGTAAGTGGATGAATTGATAAAAAGGTCTTTATTTTAATATGCACGTTCTGTTTTAATTTGTGTGTCAAAAATCTGTAAAATTTTATTCAGTAACTTTTTATCATTTATATTACTACCGTGGTCATCTTACTGCTTATATTGATACGTGGATAATTGTCAAAAGGTATTTCAATATTTGTATATTGATAATTTTGTTCTTGTATGATGTTTTTATTGTATCTACTATGGTTTGTCGACTTTCTCATCAGATCGAGCAGCCCCCTGGGATGTTCGGTTACCTCGGCCACTGAACCATAATAGACGACCGTTACTGACAAGTAATGGAGATCTTGTTGGTCTACCGTTTTATTGCAGTGTTCGGACAGTCGCCAGAATATTGCCGTTGGCCACCTAATTGCTTTTTAGATGCAACAGTATAAGAGGTGACGAATACTACTCAGTACAAGTGCCAGTCAAATTACCGAAAGTGATATCGCCTCAGGCCCCAATATGTTAACCCGTTTCACCTTGTAGACATACATTGTATCTATGTTTTTCTGACCTTGTAATATAATTATCGTTCGCCTCTCTAATTTACAAGTAGTGTAACATACTTGTAAATGTAATCTAGATTGGATTCCTGTGTATATGCTATATCTAAGGAAAGGGCTAATGTGGTCCGTAATTTACTCATGTGTTATAACCACAAAACATCGAATTTCTACATAGAAAATCATCAATGACTAACATATGAGTATATAATTTGTTAAAACATTTGTGATTATTTCGTGAGATCATCTATAAACATGATTACCATCTCATAGAATTAACATATTACTTTATATCACTTACCCTATATAACTCCACCTTCATTTTCATATCGCTTGCCCTTTTAACCGATCCCCTGTATTGCTGTTTAACAATCTTCAGTTGTAAATGATCTTTTTCCTGGATGACCATAACGAAACCTAAAACAATACAAAAGCAAAACATCTTTTCCATTTGACTTGCAATAGACATGATAAAGTTCATACCGTATTTAGATATCAAGTGGCTTTATGTTGTTATAAATGACAACGGATGTGCGGTTACAATGGAAGTTAAACACTCTAAATATTTACAGGAAAACAACCCACAGTTCAGATGCTGCCTAATACAAGGACTTGTCATTGCTTTGAACATTAAAGAATATCTAGACATACGTACTGTTAACAATCCTTATAACTCTCCAGGGGAGAATGAAGATCATGATATGAGCAGCCTCCGTCTCAGGATGTGCCCATAAACCTTCCCAAAATATCACATCTAGTGTCCACGAAACAGTTATAACAAATGCGTCAAACACCTGAAAGTACAAGATATTTGTAAATCAAATGATAATAATACATACGTAACATACTCGTCCTGAAATAGTTTTGCGAATTCTCAATGTTAGGTGAACACTACTCCTACAGTAATCAGGTAACAAATTACATCATCATCGTAAGAATGTTAATTGAGTACATTCATGAATCGTGAGGTATTAGTGAGCTTTATTCCTGATAACTGATTTTAATCGAAGTGGGACCGACTTACCTCCACTTTATGTGACAGGAATTTCTTTCCCATTGCAAATACTTTGAAAAATGTCTGAAAAAATAAGAAAGAAACACCAATAGCTTTAGGATCACGGAGACGTCCTGTTTTATGTATTGAAAATATTTCTTGGTATTTTTATCTTTTCATGTTTATATACGGAGGTGAACATAGATATAGATATGATATGCCACAATAGAGCACTTCCGTAAGAGTAGCCCCAAGCTGTAGAATGTCTCATTAATTATTCTGATATCATCCTTGAGCTAGTAATGTCAACACAATTGCCTTTACATTAGTATGCATTTTCATTCTCATTTGAGTTTTCTTGTGTAATATTTCCAAACTGATTACGAATTTATTAGCAGTACATTTTGTTAGACCGCATCTTATAAATGAAATAGATATCGTTTAGAAATAAACAGTAATGTATATATACATAAATTATATGACAGCAATTAAAGCCCGCGCCTACATTTATCGGTGCATGTCCGTGTCTACAATTACAATCTGATTAATTACCATATGTGTAAGACATATCTTTCTACTCAGTATAGTCAGCTTTACATGTCATTCCATACTCGTAGTTGATAATCAAATAAATTTGCCCTCCTTTCTTATTTTTTGTTTTTGTTTTCTTTTTGGGTTTTTTTTTTCGAATAAAATAATAATGAAATTAAATAAATCTATAAATGATATAAAAAGATTTATCAATACCATCGTCAGTGATTAGGATATAGACATATTACAAGTATCTTGTAGATTCTTTATCATAAGTCCTAATGTATTTAATAAGGTATTCAAACTTGACACCGGTGAATTGTGTCTTTATATATCAATTTGGTTATACAACCGAGGAACGACGCTTATATGTTTCATAATTAAATTATATGGAAACATGTATTTCATTTATAAGTCTGGTGTAAAGATGTTGCTTATACTGGAGCAATCTAGATATACGTTTTCCTCATATCTGAATGTATGGTTTTAAACCCAAAAAAAGGCAATACTTGCCTTAGCTGTATGTTTTGCTTGAAAATATTTGCTGGCAATGAAAAGTGTATATTCCTTATCGATATTATTATTCATATTCCATCTGGATTTTCGATTCATCGCATCTCAGATATTAGACTATATTTCTTTCACGAAATTTGTTTTATTTCACATCATTATGGAGTTTTCAATGGTATATCGGCGTATACACTAGTAAATACCTCAATGAGTAAAATGGTGAGAATGACCATGCTGCCGAGATGGAAAGCATGGGTAAGCTCATGAAGGATGTGGTGCTGGATATATTTATTTTTGTCCTGGAATGAATGTTGGTGGTTTCCACCTGCTGCCCGCTTATGTCGCCCTTTGACATGCTCCAAGTGGTGCCAGGAGTGAGGCGTGGTGTTGGAGAGTAACTTCTCCAACGCTATTCTCTTCTCCTGGATGTCCGTCGCTTTGACATCATCGAAACACTCCCTCAGTATAACTAGGATGTCTGACAAAGGCTTTTTATCCCAACTCGTCTTATTTAGACGAACTGGAAACAAGTCTAAGAGGACAGACTTGGTATAAACTTCCATCTGTTGCTTCTCCTGAAGTTCATCTGTAAACATATCACATAACTAATTATTTTCAGCTCGCCTTAATTGTTATTGAAGTGGAAATGTGGAATTCAGAGCCAACCAAAGAAATACTGTACTGTCTACAGGTGACATATTTACTCTACATCACAGTATTCGTACACAAATATTGTTTTTAAAGAGAAAAACTCACTAAATAAGACTATTGGAATGACTAGGCGAAATAAAACATTTACGATTTCATGATATTTTCCTTTCGATATTCAACATATGTTGGCTTTTAAATGTTTTGACAAGCTTAAGATAGGTATAAGTTGTTCAATATAGAATGTAACTCATACGGCCAATTGGGAAACGCTGTTGTAATGGAAACCGTTTTTATGTCTTTACTGGCAGGAGGATTGCGTTAGATAATGATATGTTTGATGACTATTGCACAATGTATTATCACGTAATAAGCCAGTGTGTCACATATTTGGTGGGAACGTTTATGGCGTGTTATGTTTTTACACAATAGAACAATGTAATAAACTTGTTTCTGTTGTATTATTCGTTCGCAGACATGGCATGGCATGTGCATAAACGCGTCAGGTGGAATATCAGACATGATCACCGGTTATAAAATAATCACCGAATACATAAGCGACCCATCAGAAACGATCATTAATACACCATTATACGTGCTTAGAACAATGGCGGTCATTATTGAGCCTTAAGGGGAACATCGGATGTTCTGACACGGCGAAGAGATCGAACTATGTATTGGCTAGGTGTACATTACGCACGTGTCAATGACAATAGTTTGACAAATTTACGCATATCTACTATAATGGATGATCATGTGGGTGATTGCTAGGTCGTCATTAGCATCGGATTCACATTATACACAGGTACGAAATGTTGGACGTGACCTACATATCTCTAACTGGACTGGTAGGTTTTCCTCATTGACGTTTTGGACACGTTTTTACATTAACATTGTCGATGGCACGACAGGTAATCTTTTTATTGTCCCTACCAGTGTATGAAGTCCCAAATTCTGATTTACTATTAGGTTATAGCCACTAAATTTATATCTAGTAGTTTTATATACAAATCAGTCTTTATGAAATGGCGAACCTAATTAAAAACTGTTATCTAGATAATTCAAAATGCAACACTGTAGAAAAACTATGTAGTGTTGTAATATTAGAATTAAGTTAAATTAATATATAAATAGATATTTTGATACTCGTTAATTTGCCTGATGGTTCCATTGTTGTATACCTTGGTCTCATATGAAAACGTGACATTACCTTTTTGGGTTTACTAAGAATTATTTGGTGGATGCCGTTGATAAAGCAGAAGATGCTTGCTCTTCCGGAACATATTGTCTTATTCTCCTTTTACGTATTCTGGTGTCTTCGTGTAATCATTTTTTTCATATTTTGCCTGAATTTTGAGTTTAGATAATGATATGAAGATATTTTGATAATCTTTTGTTTTACCATGAAAGATAATTTGAATTAAAATACCAATTTATGAAACATTGATCTATGCAAATTCTAATTTAAACAAAACAACAGACTTTACAATGGAAGTACCTTTCATGATAAGGATATCGCTGATAATTTGGCCGATGACACATCCTGCATCCATCACTGCCAGTGTACACAGGACAATCAGCGCTACATGGGTGTGTAGGATAGTGGACAGACGTTTCTTGAACCTTCAAACACAGGTCAATGTATATTTACAGATCACAGAAAACAAAACACGTCTAAATAATTTACAGATCAAGTCTAAACACATGTTAAAGTTAACTAACAGATGAAGCACAAGTGCAGTTAAAAGTCGTAAAGAAATCAAACACAAGTACAGGTTAAAGGTCACTTACAGGCTGAATGGAAACATAGGCTATAGTTCATTTACAAATCAACAGGAGGCATAGATTAATTTTGGTCTCTTAACTTTGAACTGGGATATATCTGTGTATGTTTTTAAGTGCTATTTATAATTCCATTAGTCATTCTTTTTTCAATCATTTATTTTTAAAACAAACGTGTCAAAAGAAAAAAATCTTAACAATGGTATAGTTACAGTTGGTCCTAGCACATGTTGGGAAAAATTTCATCAACTAAAATCAGACATGGAAGCTGCCAGATGAGGACAGTTTGACATATTTCACTTAAAAATGCCTACGTGAGGTTCACGACACTGTGTAGGTTGGCAGCGATACAAACGTTCACCGCAGTGAGTAATTAGTGTTATATACCAACTGTGTTGGAATGCAACTAAGACCCTAAGGATCCTTTTCTTGCATTAAAAATATTTAACAATTTGCGTCAAGAATGCAACAACTGGATATTGTTCTTTATTTCATGCCTTGATGAAATATCATTATGTTTCCATGAACATATCTGCGATACATTAACTAGCTATAATGAATCAGACGTGTCTATTCAGGGCGTCACATGTGTCAGCTCAGACGATAGCATACAGTCAATTTATCACTTTTACTGACCTCGCCATGAAGGCTGCTGCACAAAATATGCATATGGCACCAATGTGCACTAAGCAATACTCCTGCATGGCTGACAGCCATTGTACATTGTTCTTTTATAATGATATTAATAAGTATATGGTTACAATATTATTGACATTTAGTCACGACCTTGTTCATATATATGTAAACTAATTTTTAACATATTCTAATAAATTTAGAGCCAACAATGTTTTCATAGACCTGGTTGGTAACCTCTATTTAAAACTTAACGAAGACGAAATTTCCAGCTAACCTCGATCGTAATCATCGCCAACATTCTTTTGAAAATTATTCCCGTAAAATGCAAGAAACTCAGTGTCAATATAATTCTAATGAACGACATAGATTATGTTAATTACTTGCCCATTTTGCAGAAGCAATCTGTTTGCATTGCCCCTTAAATCGAGTAACCTTCCAGAACACATGGTTTTAACCTTTTTTTATCTTTTGCTTAAATTTCATATCCGTGTAATTTATCATGCGTGCTTTTTTTTTTTGCATACACAATGATATTCCCCTTATATCGTATTATTCTAAGGCGAATCGTGGCAGATAAATATGCAGCGATATGCATAGGACATACTCTCTTTCCCGGCCTTTGATCCTGCATTTATAGCAAATGAGCTTGACGACAGTATATTACTTACAATGTACATGGCTGATTTCACCTTAAGACGACGGAAGATTACTTAAATGGTGTACACGTGAGGGCAACAGTAGATTATACTGAAGTTGTGTTCATCGTAGCACTAAAATGCATTTAATTTATCCAGTATGTTTTATAAAAACCTGAAACGCATGCATGATTTTTTGCGAACTTAAAGTGTTTTATCATCACTTGTATAGTTCTAGAAGATATTGGTTATAATGACCACAGTTGTTGTGGTGTACGTTCCTCGTATGAAAACACCAGTTTTATCTGCTAAAGTTTTATCTGTTAAAGTTTTATCTGTCTACATAAACACAGAAGACTGCTTTACAGGGCTCTGAACTACATGTGCATATACACTAAATGTTTGGGTTTCAAGTATTAGACCTACAGATATTCACTAAATATTTGTCACAAGCATCAGAGAGGTACATATACACAAAATACTTGTTTAACAAGCGTCAGAGCTACAACTAACATAAGTCGGTTTACAAGCGACAGAACTACATGTATACTAGTCATCTGGCTAACAATTGTCAGAATAACATATACATAAGACTTGTTCAAAAATGTCAAAACTGCATATGCGCAATATTCTTTTTACAAGTATTTGTACGCTGTAAATATCAAAATTGGTAATATTCCAAGAAACATTTTCACAATCTTTGTCATTCAATCAGCATGCATTTCTTTATATTCTTATTAAATACCAGAACTGAATCTGAACGACAAAAATACCATGGTCATTACCTTAGCTTTACAATCTAAATAAGGATATGTTACTACCACCAAAACGTTCCCATAAGACACATCACGTCAGGGATATTGCAATCTGACGGGCACTGCAAATACATTACTGTCAGAACAGCACAAACACAAATCATGTCGCATTCTTTCCTGAGCGACCTGCACACAATACACTGCGGATATACAACTGCTGCTAGAACAACGTGCACAAGACTAACCCAACAAGTTACACAGCTTTGAATTGAGAACAGTGCAGATACTGTACAATTAGACATGTATACACAAATATATCCAAAACCTTATTTTCTTTTTGTGAAATATGAAAAACCATTTTATTCACTACTAAAGCGACGAGTACGTACATCCAAATATTACTTTAAACACGTTGAAGCTAAAAAATACAATACAAAGTACTTCATATATAGGACCACCTAGACGATATGTCCACATAAAACTATTAAGATCTCCTCGATGTCACATGACTTTGATATTTTACTTCTACGGCATTTAGATATGTAGCTCTGTAAACAATACAAGAATAGTTCGTAAAATATGGAAATTAAAGGTTCTAGTGCAAACGTTGGTAAAATTACGAGTATACACCCAAATAATCTACAGAAAAATACTGCATAAAACGACTACGAGAAGGTCAAGAATGAAAAAGAATGGCCACGAAAAAGTTATAAACACATGTTAAAGAATGAGGAACATTATCATCAAAAGCTAGTATCAACGTAAAAAGTTACTGAAATATTGATGATAGAAACTTTGAGAAAGTACAAAAACAATAACGCCAAAAACATTTTTGCCCAAAAATGTGCAAACCCACAAACATTGAAAGCCCTTACAATAGCTATGAAATAAACAATAACTTAAATTCAATCACACGCAAGTGATAAAACACTGATAACAGGAATAATTCCAAGCACACAAAATCGTGAAAAACACCAATACTATTTTTGCATCAAAAGATAGCGTGAACACACTGTATTATGACATATATCTACTATAGTAGTGATAGAACACCGCGTCATAGACATTTATACAGGCTGCAGATGGGCAACCACTTATGATCGAAACAACAAAGAAAATATTTAACAGTAACAAAATTGCACGAAAAGTCTTTCACACAATTTTCTCTTATCGCAAAAATCATTTTCTCTGATCGCAAAAATTACACTCACTAAAAAGATATGGTAACGATTCTTACCTTCCCTGATGTTTTGGTTTCCGTCGACCAGGAAGAGAGTTGTTATTACTTTCTGCTGAAGTTTTTGCTTTCATTTTGAAATCTTATGCTATTCCAATGCGTTGTTTTTCTAAATCAAAATGTTTCCGAAAGAAAAGAGAACATCTTTAGCTATCCATTTGAATGTTTTTGTTATCGTACTCGAATCTAATCAAACGGCAAGTCTAAATCCAATATTTCACAATGTTAGTTAAGTCCACAAAAGTTTGCAAAAGTTCCAGCGAAAGTTTTTTCAGCAACCGTTCACACTGATCGATATGTCACTTTGAAAGAATATCATTCAAGGTATCCAAAACCACTAGCGCAACTTCGAAATCAGTCCAAACCTGCTGACTCCAGACACTGAGAAGTGTATATGAGCCTAGTACCTGAGCAGTTTCTACCTGTGCCCTCTCCTCAGGACACCTACCTTACTCGGTGACTTATGTCAGGACACAAGCATGGAGTGACGGCTCCCGTTATATACGCCTGTCACAGAGCACCTGTCACAGAACCACTACTTGACGAATAAAAAACCTGTTTTGTCATGAGAATGACTGGCTCGTAATACGTCACCCACTTCTCCTGCTTATTCGCGAGTGAGAGGAATCTCTTTTTCCGCATATGTCTCATCTACTTATAATTATATATAATGCTTTGGAGTGTCGGTCTAGCACCACAGAACTAGGAAATACACATTATTTCCATAATTGTTAGAAAGGGATCACCTCTTTTCACCATTTGTGTTAAACAATACACATTTGTGATGGAAATTTAGGTTTATTAAGACGGAACTACCTTTTTATCATTACACGATCATGTCTTATACACAAAGGAACAAATAATGGCCGATTCTTGTATTGAGGTCAAAGTGTCTTTCTAAACCTTAATTATTTTTAACTGAGTTTCGATGATTTTTTTGATCAATTAAAACAACTTCTACAAAACAAGACATTATTTGCGAATTGTTTCATTTCTTTGACTTAATAGTACCATATATAACTGTTTAGGTCTTAACATGTAAAATCTTTGCGGTTGCTATATTTGTGATATCAATGAATATCGCTTTGCTGCTTTAAGATACGAACTCTTAAATGTGGAGAAGCGCGAGCACTTAACATTTATATTTGTGATATTTAGTTCTTTACTAATCAATGGGGGATTCTAAGTTAGGATACCTTTGTAATGACGCAACGTTGCATACCAGTTTTCTATCAATATATTCATCTCCATTTGAGATTAATATATCAGCAAAGTTTATTATCATTCAATATACAATAATATATGCTGGGCCATTATATTTGCTTTGTTAATTTTGTAATTTCGTTACGCTATATGTATAGATCATATTTCAATGATACATACATTATGAATCAGAAACATTCATTTAACTTAGATTAAAAAAATACCATATCAATACTTTACTAAATTGGTCAGATCGTGTGTGTTCTGTATATCACATAAAATGACATGTTCGTTAATCTTAACTAAAAATTAAACCCGGGGGAACTGTTGTTTGCAAGGAATACTCAAAAGATGCCCTATTAATGATTAATCGGCATAAAAGTATATATGATAAGTACACATGTAAAGGTACTTTTTACTTATATGTATTTTGTGAAATCATATATATGACTATTGATTAATGAGGAAACTTTGAATTATGAAATGTGAAATATGTCTGTGGTAAATTGCACCACAAATGCTCCCAATAATTGTATTTTATTAAATAATTGGTAGCGCCATTGTCAGTACATAACATAATTTGTGGTAAATTGCACCACAAATGCTTTCGATTATTTAATTTATCAAAATAATCGGTAGCGCCATTGTCAGTACATAACACCAATTATCTTATGTTACATACAATCGCTGTGTTACGTCAAACACTTAAGTTAAATCTGATGATGGATTAACCATCCCTCATGTCATAGTGCTACAGCTTAATTGATACGGAAGAACAAAATACGTCATACGTAATTTGATTTTGATGAATTGAATACATCATATCATTTGAAAATGATACCATAACAGTCATACATCTTCATGCTAATGAATATGCTAATGAGACACTGATAAAAGGCCCTGTACATATCGTGGTTTGATAAGGTAGTCGATAAGTGAATTGCATATTATCTGACAGTGATAAGGATGTCGCAATATACATACATATTTTCCATCCGTTTTTTACCTCTTGGAACCAAATGTTATCTCCTAGAAATATGAAGTTATTTACGTAAATTGTGTAGAATATTTTAAAAGTATTTAGGATTATAAATGATAATTTGCCTTCATGACAATACAACATGACTGAATCAAGGGCACTTGCAGATCCTTATCAATTCAACCACTTTGATATTATTCGAAAGAGTAACCAATTTTCACACCAGTCATATATATTCTGACTTAATGAGACTTACCGTTTTGGGCCATTCTCGAGAAACAGTTATTTCTATAACATATGTTTAACTTAAAGGAATAAGTGTTTATACCACGACATAACATAATATTCGTTTATATTACAGAATGTTTTCTTTTGGCGTTTCCTTAAAATTGGCATGGACGTCTTTCTTCAAAGCTGTATGATTAGCCTGATGAGTTTGATTTCTCTATCGGAACTTTCCCTTTTTTGGATAGCAACATCCCTCAATCCCAAAACTATGGTGTATACACGTCACAATTGATTCTATGATTAGGGCCGGTTCCAATTATTACGATTTTCATGCAAGAAGCAGTGAACTGATGTCTTCTGCTTCTCCCAAGCAATGTTATATAAGCAAAGATTTCATATTCACACACTGATGTTATGTATGCTGAATTCGATTAATTTTTTCGCTTGTTTTTTTGTTTATATATTCAAGTCATGAGATTTTTCCCGTTCCTGAATAAGTGCGTTCATTAAATAAAACTCTCCTGATAGAATCTTGTTAACACATTCTAATCATGTTTGCTAAATTTTACAGATGAAACGATTTGTAAACAAATTTCATACAATGATAACAACGGCAGTGCTTGAATGCCTCAATGTTAAAGAAGGCCAAATATTTATACATCTTTTCGTTTTCCTCTACCGTCAAAATTCACCTTATTTTCTTTTACAGGTATATGGGCGACTTGTGACAAAACGAAACATACTTATCCCTTAGTACGTGTTAGTGATTTTATTACATTGATATCTTCTATATCTAGTGGTAGTTTGAGTCAGTTGTCGTTTCTTTCACTCTAATCACAGATCCACTGAAAAGTATGTATTATCACAGCACAGAACATGTGTAATAATTCAAGCAGTTAATAGGTTGCATTTTTGCATGTCAAAATGATTAATTATAGAAGCAAATTAGACTATTGAAAGATGAGAAAACATTATAAATCACATGGGAAATTTAGTTGCTGGAAGAAAGTTTCATCTTCATATGTGACACAAATCATTATTTAGCTCGCAAAATAGAAATCTATTTCTTTACCTAATTCACCATTGTGTCCTAACGTGATATAACGTGTGTGACTTTTTTTCGTTAAATACAAAAACTACTGGGAACTTTCTAATTGCAAAAAAAGTAATTATTATGAATTGAAGTAAAATAGGTACAAATAGCGTTCGAGAAATACAGAATCATTTGAATCACAATGGGAATCTTGTTAGAGATAAATAAACAGTTTTTAGATAATGGGTCAAACATGAATGTATCATTCAGTTAAATGCATTTTGAAGAATATATTAACACATGTTAATCGGTACTCTTGTATGCTTTTTCTATGTGGAAGATTTTCTCAACCAAAAATTCCTGAATAATATACGTATACTTTAATGCACTGTAAATTTCAACAATAGGGTTTATCGAGATGTTAGCTGACCACTTCATTACGTGTCTATTGATCGCCTTAAGATTTAAGAGGCCACTTTTGACTGTAAATCTGTATTGTTTCTACTTTAACTTTTCTGTCAAATTGGTAAGGATAATTTAATTAATTTAGCTTGACGTCACATGAACCTATAAATTACAAAATCACTTCCCTACTGACTCATGACTGTTATTAAAGCACGGACATAGATAGCTGTAGAATCATGTTTACATTTAATTGTTAACGACGTCAATATGTCATATCTATTTATTTAATTGCCATCTTATGTGGGAGTCCTCGACGGGAACATTTGATACAACAGCAGTACTTATAGGCATTTTAGAATGTGATTTTAGTGTGTGTAAGAAGTGTCTCGTATCTTTCGGGTTCTGCCATTTACGTGTTCATTCACTTTATTACATTTTTTATATTTCTGTTTTCATCATATGATTTCTTGTCGGGTGGGTTAAGATTTAGTATACTGAAATGACTCCGTTGTCCCTTTGGCACCTGCTTAAGATTAGATTTGGTTTGCCGCTATATTCTTTCTTGAATGATTTTAAATTTGTGAAATGAAACTAAAACCATATCTCGGTTTGTTTTACTCATATTTAGGCTTTTTCATATTTCGTGTTAGTATCTTCGTCCAATAGCAATAATATGGTATTATCTTATCAGCAAGTTTCTTCAGTTTTTTGTTCAAACTGTTATCATTACAATGACGAACGTTGACGACGGTCGATTATGGAAGAGAACGTCCACAGGTTTACCATAAGAATAACAGACATTGCCAATGTTGATTCCGGTAGTATGGTATACATTGTCATAATTACAAAGACTGACGTTAACGGTGGTCGATTCCAGAAGTGACCGTTCACACAATCATGATAACGATGACTGTCGTTGACGATGGTGGATTCAAGAAGATTTTTCTGTTATCACTGCAATGACGGACGTAAACATTTACATTCTACCATAACAATGACAGAAGTAGAAGATTGTCGATTGCAAATGTGAACGTTTGCAATGTCGCTATGTCGCCGAAAATAATTAATTCCGTAGCCGAAATTTTATGTCACTTTATTATTTCTAGTGAGTTTCAATGCTTCTTTTGCGATGACAATAATGAGACAATACGTAGGGCTCACAGCATTTCAGAATGTATGTGTTAAATCATCAACACTAGCAGTACCTTGGTTGAGTGGAGAATTAA